TATTTTAAATTTTAAAAAAAGTAAATCATAAACAAATTTATAGCAATTTTCCAGGCAAATTTGCCTGGAATTGTCTACAGTTTAAGGGATACTATATTCATCAATTCTTAAAATTGATCGATATAGTACTAAAATTATCATTATACTCTTAGATAATTCTCATTATAGCTATGTTTTTATAATTAGATGATGTATTCTTAACGTTAAGAAGATTTGATCGTGTTTACTATATATATACCAAACTTTATAGTAAAAATATACAGTATATTATGAAAATCAAGACAATACAAATTAAGAATACAAAAATATCCAAAGTTATATCTTAACCATGATATTCATAGTTTTCTATATGATAATATTGAAACTCAATTATCTATTTATAATTTCTAGAAAGTTAGAGTCTTGTAGCCTAGTGGTCTAGGCACCTAACTCTCTATAGACAAGGTTAATGGTTCAATTACAGCTAGTAGTAATTAATTTAATTAATTATCTCTGTAATTTTCAGAAGCTTTCAAATATAAAACTCTGTGGCAGTAAGACCATGTGATGTATATATTTGGCTGATAAAGAATTCTTAGAAGAAGACTCAAGCTATGAAGAAAACAGGCACTATGTATGACATGGGTCATGAATGGTAATACTGAAGAAGACTATGCGTATAAATCTCAAAGAGGTGGTACTTAAGTAGTACTAATATCTGGTAATAGACTTGATTGGGAGGATGGCATAAAGTAGTATATCTAGTAATAAGAAACTGTAGTAAGAGAATAGCTTTACCAAATATGAAACACTTCTGGCACAAGAAAACAAGAAAAACTGGCTAAAAGAAACCTCAAAAAGCATGGAAACAAGCACTCTAGTAGTATGAAAATAAAGACGACTAGTGAGTTATATGTTACACAATCTATATAGAAGTTGATGACAAAATATAGCAGAGGTGTGGGTCCTGGATTACTGGCTTGTGACAGTAATTAAATGAGGTACTCAACTCCTGTCCTAAAGATCTAAACTTCTATAATACTATACCAATAGGAAGTATATAAAAAAGAGCGGTAGCCTAATTTGGTGATATACAATGTAAATATCTGAATTGACGTGAAATAACTTCTCTAATAGTAGCAGCAGGTGGCTTGAGATATGGGTCTTATAACGATGGCAGCACCTGGCTTGAGATACAGATTAGAACTTAAAGTAACTTCTCTAGAAACACCAAACTGGAAGCAAGAAGAGCACCCACTCGAAAAACACCAATTTGAAAGTAATACAAGAAATGAATTAGGAGTAATATGACAAGTGATAAGGGGTAGAAGTTGGTTAGTAGACATTGTACAGTAGTATATAAGTGGGATATATATAATACAATAGGTTTGGGAACCATCTGATAATTTAGTAACTGGTCTAAGTTGCAGGGCGGTTATTAAGGAGGTAAAATCTTATATAGCAGGTCATATATAGGTACTAATTTAGTAACTGAGTAAGCCAGGATTGTTGGTTTACTATAATTTTTAAAATTTTTTGGTAAATTTACTAGGCTGTTTGGTAAATTATCAGTAAATTTACTATTAATTATTCTTAAAAAAGTTTATATAATATAAAATCATGTGATTTGATAATTAAATTTTTTTTTTTTGGCCAATCAAATTATATAGACAAACTCAATTTTAAGTATATAAAGGTAAATTTACCACATCTTTGGTAAATTACCTGGTAAATTACCGTAATTTTATCATGGTAAATTTACCACCTACAACCCTGGGGTGAGCTAATACTCATAATATATTAGAAAGTTGTAATTGTATATGTGACATTTGTAATCAAAATACCTTAGCGTACTAATAAATGGTATTGGCAAGACTGCCGAATTAAAAAAAAAAATTTATAATTTCTAAAAACCAATTTTCATACATTTATACATACTATATATTGATATTATTAACTTAGATATAGATAGCGACATTTTTGAACTACATGCTATATGTCAAAAAGAATAATAGATTTTGTAATAGAATTTTCACAATATTAACTAAAATAATAAGTTCTATAACAGTGTAATACTTTCAATATAAACTAACTCATCTTAACTTATACTAGAGTTATCAAATAGTAAATAAGTTCTGTAACAAAGTCTTTCAGTAGCTTGTGATATAAATTATGTTAATTCTAATACAAACTAATTTACTTTAACTACCAGAATAGCAAGCTCTGTAACAGAATAATCACTGTAACTCATGATAAAAACTACAACAATTCCAATACAAACTAACACTTAAAAATAATTGATATATAAATCTATAAATCTTTATAGCAATATTTACATATTATATCTTACCATTGCTTTCTGTATTTTCTCTATGTTTCTTTTAAAATCCTTCTTCCATTGTTCTTTGTATACAAATATTTGTTTTGATGCTTTTTTGAAATTGATTTAAATAGACAATCACACTATATTATATAAAAATAATATAGAAATAGTTAGATAAAATCCATGAATATAATACAAGATATCAATAATTACAGTATAAGCTATGTCAGTATTATACAAGATATTAAAAAGATGCTATTCCCGTTTCTATTTAGAAGAAGAGAGTATTACACAAAATATCAAAATGAGCATTATCCTCGCTTCTATCTGGGAAGATGAGTTGTGTACAAAATGCCCAAAGGATGATGCTATTCTTGCTTCCATTTGGAAGAAAAGAGTATTGTATAGACATTTAAAAAAATGCTGAGTATATATATGGCTTTTTTAATCATGAACCCAATGTGTAAGTAGACTTTTTCAAAAGCTACCTTTTTACTCAGTAAACATGTGTTGTTTTTAGCTTTTTTCAAATTATAAAGCCCGGATATAGTTTTTATGTGATTTTTAGCTTTTATTATTTTATATAACGATCTGTTATATGCTTCAACTGAGCTTTTTGAAGGTAGCTCTGACTAAAACTCTCGTATTAGCCATGTTTTATAATTCAACGCCAAAAAAATTATCTGTATTTTGGATGAACTAGTATGTAGACTTGTGAGTATATTTTTTCTAACAAAGAAATTAAATATTAAAAATTGTCTATTTTATACCTTTTGATCATGTTTTTGTTGATCATATTTGACACAATTAAATTTTATATATAACAGTAATTAGCTAAATTTGGTTTTCATTAACATGCAGAATTTCTACTAAAAGTTGCTTTATATAGTGTATAAAGCCATGTCCAATTACATATTAATACATATATATGTCACATAAATTGTATATTAAAAAATAACTTTAGTCTTTTATATAGGAATATGATATCGATCTCAAAAAAATTCATATGATATTTTAATATTCTAAATTGACCAATACACAATTTTTTATTTTAATGAAACAGCAAAATATACAAAACAGAAAATAAGTATCGTAAATCACTAACTAGTTCTGTGCCTGCTCATGTGCTAGAAGCTTTTTTTTTTCAATATCTCTTGCTAAGGTTTAGAGCATTCTTCTATAAATTTTCATACAAACTAATCATACCAAGCATATCAAATATACTTAAAGACAAAATTTAATAATATTGCTGCAATGAGTAAAGAGTTCTCAGACACTTCACTCAATAGATCGGAAGTAAATTTTTAATTAATTGGAAATTAAATAAATTAACCAAATGAGTTACTATTTAGATGAACAATAAGCGAGATACAGGGTGCTCTTAAACATCTTCCTGAGTAAAATTAGATAGTAATTGAGATGATGCATAATAATTACAATTAATGAATATAAAGATTGTGATCAATGATTGAGTGAACTCTTTTCATATTACGATCATGTCTCTAACAAACAAAAAAATAAGCAACTGTTTAACAAACAAAAAAAAATATTACTATTACCAACAACTTCAAATATATCTGTTCTAACTACTTCAAGTATTTCTGCAACTTCTTAAGAAATTCCAAATAGTTCTATTATCCCTTTGCCTAATTACAATACTCCTGTTGTTCCTTTTATGAATTTAACAAATTATCAGGGTTCATGGCATGCAAAAAAAAATTAGCATGCCACCTGGCATGCCAAATTCTAATTTTTATGCCACTTGTATGCTATGGCATGCTACTATCAATTAATAACTAATAATAATTGATAAATTATATATTGCTTTATTTACAATACAGTAGTGATTTAAAGTTGATGTACTAATAATCATGATAACTTTATTTTAAGTATTTATAAGTAACAAAAAATACTTAGCTTAAATACTTTTATACATAATGATAAAAAAACAATTTTAAAGTTTTACTAAGTTTGTAATTATAAAAGATTTAAAAAATATAAAATTTGTATCTACTTAATAATAAAAATATTTTATTATTATTATTATTATTTTTAAACGGTACCTGCTTTATTATCTTCAGTAGTTAAGTATCTCTTTTTATTGAGACATACAAGGTTTTATCAGTACAGAAACTTCTAGAAACTATACCCCCTACCGACTCTGTAACAAAGCTCACTTAGCTGCTCTAAGGTGCCCAAGTGTAACTGTCTAGCCACAGATTTACCTCCCCTTTGGCCCCTAACTTACTAGGAGATTTCCTTCTGGATCAACAGTAGGCCGTGCTTACCTATTTAATTCATATACATCCTACTATATATACTACTGTACAACATCCACCAGTTATAATCCACCCCTCATCACTTATCACATTACTTCTAATTCATATCTTATATAACTTCCAAATTGGTGTTCTAGGAGTGGGTGCTCTTCTTGCTTCCAGTTTGGTATTCCTCGAGTATGTTATTTCAGAACCTAATCCATATCTCAAGCCAGGTGCTGCCGCTATCTGAAGACCCGTATCTCAAGCTACCTGCTGCCACCATTAGGAGAGCTGTTCACATGGGTCCAGATATTAACATCGTACATCTCTTAATTAGGCTACCACACCTTTTTTAGTACTCTCTATCGGTATGGTAATACAAAAGTCTAAATCTTTAGAACGGGAGTTAAGAACATCATTTAATTACTGCTACAAAGCAGTAACCCGGGACCTACGCTTCTGCTGTGTTTCGTCATAGACTCCCATATAGGTTGTGCGACTATACTTACTAGCCGTCTTTATGTTCGTACCACCAGGGTGCTTGCTTCCATACTTTTCGGGGTTTCTTTTAATTGGTTTTCTTTGTTTCTTTATTGTGCTAGAGATGTTCCATATTTGGTAAAGCCATTCTCTTACCACAGCCCCTTACTATGTTTACCGCTTCTCTCACCACTTTTGGATATACTGCATACAGCTGTCCTCCCAATTAAGATCCCAATGCCGCCTTAGGGTTGTTGGTGCTATCTTGCCAATCGTGGATTCATACGCACAGCCTTCTGCAGTAATACCTTCTGTGACCCATGTCACACATAGTGCCCGATCTTCTTCATAACTCGGGACTCCTTCCAAGAATTCTTTATCGGCCAAATATATACTTCACATGGTCTTACTACCACAGGGTTCTGTATTCAAAAGCCCCCGCAGGTTATAGAGATAATTAATTTAATTAATTACCACCAGCTGTAATTGAACCGTCGACCTCGTCTGTGGAGGGTTAGGCACCTAGACCACTAGGCTATGGAACTCTAACCCTAAAAATATTTTATTATGATTTTAATAGTATTCTTTAATTTAATAACTATATACTATTTGATTGTTTTAAAAAATAATATCTTTGACAAACTATTCATTACTAGTAGTACAAAAAATCAATTAAGTAGATTCTAGATATGTATATAATTAAAATTTAAATCAAAAATTTTAAATTAATATACTTGTATATAAGATATAAATACTGTATTACTTGTATAATTAAATTATAAAATACATATTTTTGATAAAAAAATTTTAGCAATCATGATTTAATATAATATAAAGTTATTCATATTTTGTATTTATAAAATGTATACTAGATATTTTATATGAGGTTTATAATTTGTGATATAATAATTCTTGATTTTGATTGGTCAATCTTACTTATATAAAGGCATGTCTTTAAATGTAATAGCATGCCTATAGCATGTCACCCATGGCATGCCAAGGACCTCTATACCATGAACCCTAATGCTGTTACAACAACATTATTATTCTGCGCCACTATTTAATCCTTTAGTTTTAAATAGAACTAATAGCAAATATGAAGAAGTATATATTGAATTTTATT